ATTGATAAGAGGGAAAACTTCGATTCAACTGAAAATGAAGTCGTCGAATATTTCGAATCAAATATAACATATGAAAATTCTCGCTATAAAGTTAGATTGCCTTGGAAACATGACACATCAAATCTAAATAATAATAGGGAAATCGCAGAACAAAGATTTCATCGACTTAGAAAACGATTTAAAAAAGATCCTAATCTATTTTCCGAATACAGGAACGTATTAAGAGATCAGTTAAAACAAAATATTATCGAACCAGTTTCAGAAATTTCAAATGAAGAGGATGTCGTGTTTTACTTGCCACATAGGGAAGTTATACGCGAGGATCGAGCTACAAGTAAATTACGTATTGTTTATGATGCATCATCGCATGCCCCAGGATCCATTTCTTTAAATGACTGTCTACATGTTGGGCCAAATTTATACCCTGAAATATTCGAAATATTGTTAAGATTTCGGTATAATCTAATAGCCTTCACCGCAGATATAAAACAAGCCTTTTTACAGATTCTCATACATGAAAAAGATCGAGACGCAACCAGGTTTCTGTTTTCCGATTTCCCTAATGATGAAACCATTTCTCCTGACATATATAGGTTCACTAGAGTTTTATTCGGAATAAATAGTAGTCCATTTCTATTAGCCGCTACCATTAAACATCATCTGAAAAAATATAATAAACTTTATCCTACAACGGTTACTTTTTGAATGAGAACGTATATGTAGATGATGTGATTGGAAGCCAACCAACGATCAATGAAGCATTAACTACGAGTCTAGAATCGGTCCAAATATTTAAGGAAGCAAGCATGCAGCTTCACAAATGGCATAGTAACTCGAGACAATTACATGAATTGTGGGTAAAAAAGGGTATCGTTCCAGATGAAAATCCTGAAGATTTTAATAGAGAAAATTTCCCATTTAAAGTCTTAGGTATGGCATGGGATAATTCAAAGGACTTACTGTATTTTGATGTTCGGAACTTATTGTCTTTCACATCTAAACCAATAGAAACAAAACGATTTCTTCTACAAGTGTTGGGTCGGATATTCGATCCGATTGGAATTTTAGGACCTTTCACTGTTAGAATAAAGTGCTTAATACAGAAGATTTGGTTGTCACAAATAGATTGGGATGAACCGTTACCTGAAGATTTGTCCTCTGAATGGAGAAAGTGGTGTGAAGAGCTACCTCAAATGGCTGAATTCTCCATCTCTCGTTACCTTTTCATGCACTCGAACATTAATGTCGAAAATCTCGAACTACATTGCTTTTCAGATGCAAGTGTCAAAGCCTATGGTACAGTCGCATATTTACGTTTCACGACAGAAAATAAAGAAATCAAAACGGCCTTTGTCTCTTCTAAAAATAGGGTAGCCCCACTAAAATCCCTTACTTTACCGAGGTTAGAATTAATGGGGGCATTGTTATCAGTTAAGTTAGTCAGCAATATTCTGAAAGCACTGAAATTGAGAATTCCGTGCTATTTTTGGACAGACTCAACAATTACTTATTTTTGGATCCAGAAACAACCTGAAGCCTTCAAACCCTTTGTCAGGAATCGTGTCGAAGAAATACAAAAATTGAGTTCACCTCAAGATTGGCATTATTGCCCAGGTGTCGACAACCCTGCAGATCTCGTATCTCGGGGAACGAAGATTTCCAAGTTAATAAATGAGACCATTTGGACGCAAGGTCCCCAATGGCTTCAACTCCCTCACGAACTTTGGCCAAGATTAGATATTAAAGAAACAATAGATGAAAACAAGCTGGAATACCGAAAGGGATCCGGTGATATACATCAACTTGAATGTACAATCGAAAAAAGTGCAGATGATCTTTTCGACATATCAAAATATAGCAAATTAGAGAAGGTGTTAAGAGTCACTGCTTGAACAACACGTTTCATTAGAAAATTAAGAAAAACTAGCGACATTCAAGGAACTCTCACAGCTGAAGAGTTACAAGAAGCAGAAAATTTCTGGATATAAGATCAGAGCAAAAGAAGTTTTTGCCGAAGTTTTTCCGAAGAATATAAATCCCTCAAAGAAGGTAATTCGGTTGGAAAAAATTCTCCTTTGTATAATTTTCTTCCTTACATTGATGAAAAGGAAATCATGAGGTTGAGAGGAAGACTGGAATTTTCTGACTTCTCACTAGATAATAAACATCCAATAATCTTACCTAAAAATTCTCGACTAACGATTCTGATTGTATGCAAAGAACATGAGAAGATAATGCATGGAGGAATTGCTGCAACTTTAGCTAAAGTCAGATCACGCTTCTGGATTCCTAAAGGACGACAGTTAGTCAAAAAAAGCATTAAAAGGTTGTATAATTTGCCAAAAATATTTAGCTAAACCAGCAGACCAGATGACAGCACCCTTACCAAAGGATAGAATCCAAGAATCGCCTCCATTTGCAGTCTGTGGAATTGATTTCGCCGGACCAGTTTACGTAAAGAATTCTAAAGACATTCTCGAAAATCCTATATTGTTTTGTTCGTTTGTGCAGTAACCCGAGCTGTACACTTAGAACTTGTATCAGATATGTCAACAGAATCCTTTTTACTTGCATTTCGCAGATTTTTGAGCAGAAGAGGAAACTGCGTAATCATCTACTCTGACAACGCCAAGACCTTTAAGAGGACAAAGAAAGAACTTGAGAATTTTTCAAAAGTTTTAAAAGATGACAAATTCAAGAATTTCATTGCCAAAGAAAGAATCCATTGGAAATTTATAATCGAACGAGCCCCATGGTGGGGAGGGTTTTATGAGAGACTTGTTAGATCTGTTAAAGAATGTTTAAGAAAAATCGTAGGAAAAGCATTGTTGACTTTCGAAGAAATGTCTACACTACTTGTCGAAGTGGAGTCAGTTCTTAATTCACGACCTCTAAGTTACGTTTACAACGACAATGACGAGCCGCAACCGTTGACTCCAATGCACTTCTTAAACATTGGACAAACTGATTTGAAGTATCCTTTGACCTTTGCTAGAATCATCGGTAGCGAAACGACAAGAGAAACGCTGTTAAAAAGAAAGCGTTATCAAGAATTGCTGTTAAAACAGTTGTGGTGGAAATGGAAGCAACAATATTTATTAGATCTTAGAACTGCCCATTTCTTGAAGAATCCGAAACTTCAACCGGAACTAAAAGGAAGACTTGGCAGAATCATAAAAGCTATTCCTGGATGTGATGGTAAAGTCCGATCATTCGAATTAAAAACTGGTAATGGGACTTTAAAACGTACTGTTCAACATCTATATCCTCTTGAACTTTAGATATTTTGAACTTTAACGATTTTAGTTATGCTTTTTTCTTTTTTTGTCTATTAATGATTAAATTGAATATCGTTAGTTTAAGTTTGGAAAATATTTTAAAAATTTAGTTCATTTATTAGTTATAACATTTATTATTTGATACATGATTGTATAACCTGTATTGGAATTGAAGTGTTTGACTAATTAGTATTTTTTAATATTTTTATAGAATAGTGATTTATGTACTTGATTGTATGTATAACTGAGTTAGATGAACTCTTGTCAGAGTTCAGGTGGGGAGTGTGTTAAGGAATATTCTTTGATATCGCCAAGAGATGGCGTTAGGAGTCCATCTATTGGCTTACTTAACCTTTCCCCTTCTGAACACGTGACTTGAAAAAATATTCTTCTTGAAGGTAGAATTTCGATGCACTACGCAATAGAATTCGTTTTAGATTCTTAGATGGAACTATTCAGTTCTTGTTTTTTGAGCATTAAATATTCGATTCAGGCATTTTAGCCTACATTGTATATATGTAAATATTAAGTTTAATTAAAATTTATGTAAAACCCTCCAGGCCATGCATCTCATTTTGGATTAAGAGTGATTCGAATTTGATCTAGAACTTTCGTTTCAAATGATCCTTTTTTTCAAGAATTAAATTCTTGAATGGTAATTTTTAGAACAATTAACGTAATTAATAATTTACTAAATCACTGTTATTTAAAATGTGCAATATTCTCATAAATTAGTTCATTTATTGTACTTTATTTACTTTTTGTTACAACCATTTTTTTTCCAAAATAAGATATATATTCCTACTCTAAATTGTTAGTTTCTAGTTAAGTTATTTCATATACCATATATTTTGGCATATAATACGTACCTATAATTTCAAACTACATTTTTTTAATTGTGTGTATTTTAATGTGTATTAATAAATCATACAAAAGAAATTAAAACTACAGTCGTATGCACGATTATTAGAAGGTGAAAAAGCATTTACAAAAGGAGACCAAATGAGTCATGCCAGTTCAGAAATATTGTGTGAGCAGATAATAAAAACATGGGATGAAACTAAATTTGTCATAATTCAAAAGGCCATATGGAAAACATAATATATCTTACAATCTGGATGTAACTGATGATTATTTGTTTGTGGATCAGAGTAGCACTGGCAGTGAAGATGAAATAGAATCCAATTATGTGCCTGAAGATATAATGGAAAGCAAGTGTGATGAATGTTTCATGTTATCCAATAAGAAAAATTTTTTAATTCATGATAAGTTTTTTTTTTTTTTTTTTTTTTTTTTTTTTTTTTTTTTAATAAACAGCATTTAGATACATACAGAAATATAATTTTTTTTATGCTCATCCTTTCCTTATTTTTAAGTCTATCATTTTGATATCCAGTGTATAACGCATAATCATAAGTTACTATCTTATTTTTTTGTATTAAAAGTTCGTTTTATGTGCTGGAATATATGGTACCTGGAAAAATAACTTCAAGTTACTTTTATGTTCTTATAGTATTGGAGGAGAAACTGAGATTAACCTGTTTAAATGATTTTATGATATAAATCAAATTGACAGGAAAAAAAATGGAGACTATTTGTAATATTTGATTATGGTATAATATCTCAAATTTAAAACAATATGCTTTCTTTAAATTTTAGTTTATAAAAATATTTTTGGAACTTTCATTTTTCTAAAATAGCTAATTTTTATTAAAATATTAGGTGAAGTTGAAAAAGGTGGTAAGATTATGACAAGGGCTCATCTATTAAACATACATGTTGTCTCATATAACTTTTTGGATGCTGTTAAGAAAGGAGTGTCACCTGCTCAAGCTGTAAAGGCCAGTTTAATATCATCTTGGGGGGATGATGTAAGCTTTATATAGTTTTAATTTTATTTCTTTTTAATATTTAATTGAATGAGTTTTGTTTTTCTAATATTTAAAAGAAAAATTAGTGTCTTAATTTCGCTGCTAAAATTAATACTTATGTGTTAGCACAACCACATTGGTGCAGTTTAGTAATTTTTTTTTTGCAGAAGAAAAAGAATTATGACTGATAATTTAAGAATCGTTTATTACACACACTCATATTTTAGCCGCCCAACCGATATAGTTGCTAGCATTGCTGACTGCCGTGCTGAAGGGCCTGGGCTTGAATCCCAGAGAAGGCATGGATGTTTGTAAATGTATTATGCCAGTGCAGCATGGCAGCAGCACTCTAAATATGCGGCGAGCCAAAAGTCCTCTCGTGTGGTTTGGTTGGAGACCTTTGGACCTGTTTCTCCATCAAAATTGAGGGTGGAACTGAGCTAAGTCGCACTGCCACCTGAATGGTGCTCAAGGCACTGCCAACAGCAGGCTTAATCTAGTCCTCCTTGCCACGCGAAATTCATGGGCTTAGACTGACTGCAACAGACAAGTTGCCTTTGCTCACTTGACTGCAACAGACAGTTGCAGAAAGACTGCAACAGACAAGTGAGCAAAAGTGACAAAGTGAGCAAAGGCAACAGACAAGAGACAAAGGCATGCCAAGAAGGTGGGAGAAATAGCTTATACAACAACACATATTTTAACATATTTTACTATTAATAAGGTATTTATTCCAAAATATCAATACAGCTACATGCAAATAAAGTTTTTTTTTTTTTTTTTTTTTTTTTTTTTTTTTTTTTGGCTTGGTGAAATTTTTTATGATGATCATTTTAAGAATTGATTCAAAACTATTGTTGTTTTCAGCAATTTTGCATCTGAATATACCTGCAGATGTTTTGCCATGGTTTCTTGTATTGCAAGCAAATCTTATTAGTGCTTATATTAAAATTGAAGTTAAGGCCAAAACACTATGATATTGATGTATTAAAACCATTGGAACTTGGAGTGCAAGGGAAAAAGAAAAAAAGCACATGAAAGCAGCAATGATCATTGTTAAAATGAAGAACTGTTATGTGTATGGTTTTAGGAGCATTCTAGTGCTTTGGAGATTTTTATTAAAATGGTTGTGCTAATGTATAAGTACCTTTAAATTGTTGGAATCTAATTCATATAGTCAGTTATTTTCTTGGTTGCAAGATGTTTTATTTAATAAATCAGTATAGACAAAATTTTGTTCAACACTTTTTATGCCTCTAGATAAGATCTGAACTGGTTGCATCTAATTTTCTTACTTCTAAATGCATTGTAAATATAATTACTAAAAACAGTATTTTAATTATATAAAAGATCCTATTTATTACTCTGAAAAGCAGTATTTCTGCATATTTTCTGTAGAGTATGTGATTTTAATTAGATGCTTAAAATTGCTGATTATAAACAAACTTTAAGTGCTCATAAATAGAATATTTTATTGCATGTTGGCAGTTCTCAATGCATTAATTTATAGTCTTGTTTTATTTTTTAATAATATGTCTGATATGATTAATAATACTTTTAATTAATGTAACATATAATATATCTAACTGATAATTTGAATGAACTGCTTTAGTGTAACTGATATCTAATGTTTCTGTCACTGTATTTTATGTACCTTGCTAATGAATAATCATTTGATTTTAATTTTGACAGTTTATTAACTTAAAAAATAGTATCCCAGATTTAAGCTCTTGATGTAGCATTTGAGATTTAGAAATCATGTCAAATACATAACAGTCAAACTGTTATGGTGAGAAATTGACATAAATAAAGAAAAAGTCCTTGTGTTTGTCTATACAAATTTACAGTTTTATTCTAATTTTGATGAAATATGGCACACTCAACTTTCAAAACAAGAGGGCTTTCAAATACTGTCTACATGGGGTTTCTCAAAAACTACTTCATGGTATCCAGACCACTTAGATACATATATTTTAATTTAACAAACTTTTGATTAAAATTTCAGCAGTTTTAAAAGATTTGTTTTGCCACTTTGTAAAGCGTGAGATATTTTATGTTTCACATTGAATCAGAAAACTCAGTGATATAAAGAAGTTAACTCTCAGAAAAACACAATATATTTCTTTGTCTTTCAATTTAATAATCAAACTCAGGGATTTGAGAAAAATGTATTGCCATTGCCCAAATTAGAATATTTTTAAGTGTGTTATTGTTCAACAAAGTGGGAAGTATTTAATTTGGAATTATGGAAAATACGCCAGCTATAAACAATAAAAACATTTATAATTTTCTATATAAATAAAGAACTGTGCCCATATGTTTCCCCCCCCATACAAATTGACAGTTTTATTCTGATCTTGATGAAATTAGGTTCACTTGACCTTCAAATCAAGAGAAAGGCCACTATCTACATAAGATTTTTTAAAATCTACCCCACCAAGTCATTTATAGATCTAGATGTTATGAAAATTTAGCAAACTTTTGTTTAAAAACTCAGTGATTTAAAATCTTTGCGTTGCTCCTCCTTTAACACATAAGACATTTATATTTCAAATTTAATGAGAAAACTCAGCAATATAAAAAAAAGTGTTGCCACATTTCAAATTAATGTATTTTTATCCTCCATTCAGCAGTGTGTAAGCAGTCTATTACAAAGTGCAAGATATTTAATTTTTCTTTCAAAATTATTCTGTTATTGATTAACAAAATAAGCAATTTAAAAGCAGTTAACACAAATTCATTTCAGTTATTATTACTAGTTGGACTCACAAAATTACAAATGCCAAATGTATTAAAATCATTTCGATATGCAAAGAAGAGTACTTGTTTGTTTGTCTATGTCAATCTTGCAAATCTACATTTTTATTCCAATCTTGATGAAATTTTGCATTCTTGACTTTTCAAAATAACAGGTCACTGTGTACATAAGACTTTGAAAAGCCACCCGATTGGGCCCATGCTGAAGGTACTAAAACTGCTAGACTGCACCGTGTTTATTTACTCTTTAGAATAATGTGTAACTTTTCAAAACAGTGTAGAACCTTGAAAGTAGAATTTAAGTATTCTCTGTGTCATTGTTCTTGAATATTTTGAAAATGGTGAAGAAATTGTCCAAATTGGAGGGTAAATTTTAAAAAAAGTATAAGAAAATACACAACCAATAATTAAGCAAGTGCCAGTTCTTACTAAAATCAAAGCACCATGTTAGTTCTACACCATTCTGCAATTTTATTCATATTGGTAAAATTTTACATTTACGTATACTTAAAAAACAGGAGGAAAAATAACTGTCTACTTAGATTTCGAAGAAACTACTTCTATCCCCTTAAATGAAGTCTTTTCACTGTGAATAAATCCCAGGCAATGTTGACTAGTATATAATAATATATTATTATGGCTAGTATATAATAATAATTTCCTTTGAGAAATTTAAAATATTTTCATGTTATTCCCCCCTTTTTGTATAAAGATTGAGGTGTGCATTTTAAATCAAGATCTAATGGTTGCAAGAAAACATTTTTAATTCTACATTTTAATCTGCTAAGACCAAATAATAAATAACACTTATTCAAGAAAAAACCACAACAAGGCAGTAATAAGTAATTACATAACTAATTTTCTTTCTTTATATTGTAAAGTCACATTAAATGGTTTTTATTTTTTATCGTTGTTGTTTTGAGGCATTTCATGAAATGCATCATATTCAACCTTTAAAAAAAAACTTTCATGAATTTCTGTTATCTGCTTTGTTTTTTAGTATTGCAAATTTGTCATTTTTATATTCTGACAAAATGCAAAATAATTTTTAGATTGTTAGATTTTTTAATATTTATTTACTGATTTTTGATTTGATAAGGTGATTGTTGCATTGCAATATATGTTTTATTTATTAATATTTATATTACTATCCATTGTAATAATTTATATGAATCCATTTTAAAACTTTTTATATATGGTAGATGAGTGATTTATTCATTCATCTAAAATACAATTGCTTTCTTATAGCCAGTTGTAAAATTCAGTGGAAAACAAGAAAATAAACAGGAAAAATCATTAGGTAAAACATTACTTTATTCCTTGGATATAATTTAATGTTTTTATAATGTGATTTTCCTTGAAAACATTAATTATGCATTTATTTTTTATTCTTTGTATAATTCTAATCCTATTGTAAGCAAAAATGTAATTTTTTTCAGCTAAAAATTTTTCAAGTTCTATGTCTGGCCCTCAGACAATGAAAGTATCTGTTGTAGGAGGTGCAGCTGTCGATCCTGAAAGTGGTAAGGTCAATGACTAATAAAAAATTTTCCTGTTTCAATCAGCTTTAGTAACACTGCTACACCACATTTTTTTTATTTAAAAAAATCAGCTCATTGGTTGCTTTTTAATAAGTTTGATAAATTATTTAATCTATGTCTAAGAAAAAGCTCAGAATAAATATATGAGTATAATGGAATTTTAACTGGTGACATCCATGGAAATTATACAGACAGTGCATATACAGTCAAAAATCTTTAATCCGGACCTCAAAGCTAAGAACTTTTTGCGCATGCGTAAACGCATGTGCATAATACCTTTATGCATGTGCATAATACGTTTACGCATGCACATTATAAGTTTACGCATGCGCGTTTAATGTATAACGGATGGTATAAGCTAAGCTAAAATTATCTAATTATCTATTTCAGTTAATGTTGCAGATTGCGTTGTTCCTTAATCTTCTAATTGGATCCGGCTTATTATTTTTTGCAGACTGTTGGAGCAATTTTATAAAAGTAAGCTTGAACTTTCGATTATGTCGAATAGAATTTCCGATTCTGGAGCTGCCAAAGGATCTACAAAGCGAAAGCATGTTTCGATGTCCATCAAACAAAAAGTGGAATTGCTGCAAAAAATTGATAAAGGCATATCCTCTAACCATTCCGAAATCTGTTTATCAATTTCACGCTGCTCTGGGGGGGGGAGGACGTCGCGGCACACAATGAACTGGAAGTTGATCTGTCAGCACTATCCTTATCTTCAGGGCAGATGTTTTTATTTTGTTCGGCTTATAATTCCTTACTAAATGTAGTATTTCATCTCGATGTACTCTGTCTTTGATGTGATTTAAATCAAATTCCTCGTCATTATAAATATCACAAATATACATCAAATAGTTTTCTGGTTTCAATTTTCTAATTTTGACTATGCGTAATGTATGCTTTACGCATGTGAGCATTGAAAGAAATGTTTAATAAAGTAAACAAATAAATATTAAGCTTTTTTTGTAAATTTTGATACGGTTTCATATTTTTAATTTTATAATTTCTGCATGCCATCTTACCAGATTTAAAGTGATGATCTATAATCCGGAATCGACGAAGTCCCGACGAGTCCGGATTAAAGAGTTTTGACTGTACTTACTTACAGTGCATATATAAGTCATTCTGTAAGAAAATTTAAACTTATTCAAAGCAGTAATAATTCAATAATGGTTCAGAAAGTGAATAAATTATGTTATGCATTTTTGTGAAGTACATTTTTTAGTTTCTGCATACTTTTATAATGAAATTTAAATAGGCAGAATATTAACAATCAAATGATTAAAGCCACCGATTATATTCAAACTTTTGTATGCTCAAAAATAACATTATTAGTTAATACAGTCAAAAGTCGTTAATCCGGACTCGTCGGGACTTCGGCGATTCCGGATTATCGATTTTTCCGGATTATAAATCATCAGTTTAAATCTGGTAAGATGGCATGCAGAAATTACAAAATTGAAAATATGAAACCGTAATTTATGAAATAAAGAACAATTATGATCTAAAGGGTATCAAAATTTACAAAAAGAAAAAGCTTAATATTTATTTGTTTACTTTATTAAACATTTCCTTCAATGTAAGTTGCTTCGTTTCATGTGATAATACTTTCTCTTTAATTCTATTAAACAGACATAATTTCTTGTTTAGTTACAAAGTTCCGCTGTTCAAGTCCTATATTGCTGTGTTGAGAATACCGACTAATTTGTCAATCGAAATGTTTTCGTTTTCAATAACCTCTGGGTCACTTTCTTCACTATCGGAAGCGAATTATAATGACGAGGAACTTGATTTAAATCATATCAAAGACGGAGTACATCGAGATGAAATACTACACTTAGTGCGGAATTATAAACCAAATAAAATAAAAACATCTGCCCTGAAGATAAGGATAGTGCTGAGAGATCAACTTCCAATCCGCCGCGTGAAATTGATAAACAAATTTCGGATTTCAAAACATACTTTCGCTTTGTAGATACAAATTACATATTAGTAAATATATATCGGAAATTCTATTTGACATAATCTTTCTAATCTATCATAATTAATAATGACGTTTCTGCCCCCCCCCTCTGCCGCAGAGCAGCGTGAAATTGATAAACAAATTTCGGATTTCAAAACATACTTTCGCTTTGTAGTAAATATAAAATCGGAAATTCTATTTGACATAATCGAAAGTTCAAGCTTACTTTTATAAAATTGCTCTAACAGTCTGCAAAAAATAATAAGCCGGATCTAATTCGAAGATTAAGGAACAACGCAATCTGCAACATTAACTGAATTAGATAACATTAGCTTAGCGTATAACTCCGTTACACATTAAACGCGCATGCGCACAAACATATTCGCAGCCGTAAGGGTCTTACGCGCTCTCGTAAACGCCTGTGCGCATGCGTGAACGCGGCGCATGCGCAGAAAGTTTGTAGCTTTGAGGTCCGGATTATAGATCATTCCGGATTATGGGTGTCCGAATTAACGACTTTTGACTGTAAAAAGGGGGGAAGCTGCTGAATTTTTACAAACAAATATAAAAATACTTATTGTATTATTGAAATTTGTATTTGGTATAATAACATTATTAGTTAATAAAAAGGGGAGAAACCGCTGAATTTTTACAAACAAATATAAAAATATTATTTGTATTATTGAAATTTATATTTTGTATAATACCTTCAATAAACCACTACTTGATGAAAGATGCTTTTTCAGCAAGGCTGCACTGGATTGCCATCCTACATTTTATAAGCCTATGCAGATTACTTGAAACATTGTTTACAGTTCAGGCAGCATATACTGACAGTGAAAAAAAAATCTTAACTTTTCTTTCAATGCAAGGAAAATCCAGAGTGGAATGGAAACTAGATAGAGAAAATATTTGTCCATTCATAAAATTGATGCAGAATAAGTTCTGATATTGAAAGCATCTGCATTAATAATTCCATCATTATTAATGCAGATGCTTTCAAGTAGAGGGAGGTAGTCTAAGCTAAATAATAATTTATAATATTTCATATTAGCTTTGCACACTGCAGCTTTACTTTTGTAAACATCATCTCCATTTATACTGCAAAAATGACTACCAAATAATTTCACTGTTCTTTGTTTGAAGAAACAAGTCATATGGTAACTTTCTTCTGTAAACTCCCTGCATTGTTTAAGTAGCAAAGCAAAATTCTGCTCATCAATCACTCTTAGCACAGTTCAGAGCCACAATGAATATATATGACATTAAACCATATAAAGTAAATATTGCAGAATATGTTCAAAATTTTATGGTTACTAATGTAAATAGTGTAGATTCCATCTTATCTGTAGAACTTGACTTCACAAAATTGCTTAGAGTTTAGTGGTCGTTCAGGGGTAAAACACATACAATATCACAAAGTGACTGTATGTTTAATGAAGATTATCAACGATTTGACCACATACATAGCTGGAATGAAGGAAAATTATTTAGAGATATAGAAGAAGTTCATGTATTTTACATCAGAGTACACGTCTTTCATTTAAATTGCGGCCTCGTGTGCTGTTGCTCACAAAAACAGTTCCATTCAGTGACATCCCGTGCCTTCTGTTGATTGTGAAAGTTGACAACCCATGGATGTTCGATCATTCAGACAGCATGCATCCTTACATGCTGGGAAAGTGGCCATCATCATCATCTGGGAAACTGTTCTTCAAAATGCCCTAGATAAGTCCATATGAATTTGTTTTTGTATGCTTGTCTTTTTAAACATTGTCTTAAAAATGTCTTCCAAGTATGTCTTCTTAAACATTGTCTCAATATGTCTTCTAAATGCATCTTCTGAAACATTATCAGGATACATTTTCTAAATAGGCCTTCTTGAACACCATCTTCCTTAAACCATCTTCTTTCATAATTTTTTATCTTTAGACATCACCTTCTTCTTAAAATAGTTCATGTCTTTAAAACAATAGTCACGAGCACCAACAGACAAATTGGATAGTCAAATTGGGATTAATTTGTCAAGTTAGGGAAAAGTCTACCATCAAACCATCATCAAGCACCATCAAAACTGGTGTCGCATTATCAAAGTTTTTTGATTTTCTTCCGAGTCTGCTTTTTTGTTTCTTTTTCCTCACCTTTTTTAGTTTGTTTGTTCCATGTTTGCTTTCTGTGTTAGTGTCTTTGTCATCAGATTTTCTAACAGACTTGTTTTAAGCCTTGTCTTCTTCTTCTGTAGTCTCTGCAGTTTCTTCATTTTCAGTAGTTTCTTTTGATTGTCTGTTGCAGGGAATATTGCAGGAGTTAGTATTCAATTCATCATCTTTAGTTACTGATTCATCCTCGGGAAAGCATTTCTCTTCTGAACCTTCTGTGGTGGCATTTCTTGATGGCTTTGAAAATTGAGTGTGTTGTGTTTTCTTGAGTTTCCTCTTGCACAAATTCAATATTGACAGCATCATTTTCATTCACTATTTTGTAAAGCATATTATTTTGTAAGCAATAATCCTCATATAGCTTAGACTTCAAAACTTTCTTTTCTAGCTTTTATATTTTCATCAGCTTCTTGAACTTGAATAATCTTAATTGTTATGCCATCTTAAACTGCCACAGTGGAAATGTCTTTTTGGCCCATAATATGTTTGAATGCATTACAGTCTATCGTGATTTTAAATGGAATGCCCAATATGTGTACCCTAATTATGAGAACTTCTGTGACTGCTTTATCTTCTAATTCTTAGCTCAAATACTTACATTTAATATCTATTGTCTTCCTACTCATGATCAACTAGATGCATCTGATTATCAATTATGCATTTCTATAGCAGAACCGCAACTCAGCATCAGTGTGTATTTTCATTTCTGCTTTCAGATTATAAATATATAAAACAGGTTCAGGTGACAAGGTGCATTTCAGTTCGTTAAAAGCACAGGGTTCTTTATTTTAAAATTTAAATTTAGAATCTCTTCAGAAATTACTAAGTGGTTTTGCAATTAATGAATAATTAGGTAT